ACAGATATACATACAGATATATATATATATATATATATATATATATATATATATATATATATATATATATATATATATATATATACAGAGCTTTAATTTATATTAATATTAAATATACATTTTCCTCACTGTTAAAAGACAGACTTTTTTCAGACACACATTTTCCCCCAAAGTCTGTTTTTTAACAGTGAGGAAAAAATGTATCTTTAATATTAATATAAATTAAAGCTGTGTGTGTGTGTGTGTGTGTGTGTGTGTGTGTGTGTGTGTGTGTGTGTGTGTGTGTGTATATATATATATATATATATATATATATAAAATGTATATTTAATATTAATATAAATTAAAGCTCTGTTATTATACATCGAGCATTATTTTTGCACCAACACATGCAATATATATATATATATATATATATATATATATATATATATATGTAAAGTGAACATTGAAGCCAACACGCAGCGGCGACAGGCTGTTTCATGCTAGACGCAATCGTCCGGCGGCCTGACGATTGCGTCTAACATGAAACAGCCTGTTGAGTGTTGACTTCAATGTCCACAATTATATTTATATTTACATACGCTCTATCTCTGATATTGAGCACTTTATCCCATAAATATAGCACACTTTAAAACTATATTTCTGCATATATATTTGATAAAAATATAGTTTTATGGTTTCCTATATTTATGGCTAAAAGTTCTCAGAATCGTAGATAGAATGTAAATATACTGTTCATTTCGGTCAACACCAAGCAGTGAATTTGTTTCATGCTTCAGCGCAATCTATAATCTGATAGCCTGAAGATTAGGTAAAGAAATTATCTGTTTATACATCTGTCAGTCTCTCACTCTCTCTCTCTCTCTCTCTCTCTCTCTCTCTCCATATATATATAGATATATATATATATATGACAAATTGGAAAAAAGTTTTTGTAACGCCTTTCATCCGTCAGTTCATCGGATAAATTGGATAATAATCAAGAGGATCGCCGTCTATAGAGTTATTTGGCCATATGTAAGACAACCATAAGTTTGATAACCATGACTGGGTTCTTCTGCTTGTGTGGCATGGGCCAGAGTCATGTTGCCAGACACATGGGCTTCCAACACTCACACTCTTGACCTACAGTAGCACTATATCGTTAAGTTACTTGATTTAAGCCTCCGTGTTGAGTCCGAGGCCCTATGCGAAGATGAACGAAGGCATAACATCGCCATCACTAGTGATCATTCCAAACACCTTCGTAATCTCTATTAGACTCATCCAACTCTTTCCAAACCTTCTGCACTCTCCCCATTTTGACATCCAAACACTCTGAAATGTTCGTGTTGGTGCTTCCGCGGTGAATGCCAAGCAGTACAGCAGGCCTTTTCCGAATTTCTGGTGTCGTGAATTATGTCATGGTGCTCTTTTTCTCACAGGCGGTTTCCAACTGACCCTAATATACTGTGCAGTCGACAAAATCAGAAAAAAAACAACGCGCATGCGCGAAATTAAATAACTAAAATGGCGATAATTTGCCCATCGCACCGTGTATATATATATATATATACATACACACATTTCAACATATATATATGTGTGTGTGTGTGTGTGTGTGTGTGTGTGTGTGTGTGTGTGTAAGTAGTTACCGGTTTTAACAAGTTAAAAGATGCATGGGCGGATAAAAAAACATCCTTTTAATTCCTGCATATTTAAAGAAAATGTTGTTAATGTATTTAAGCATATTATTTTTAAAGTATGTTACAATGCAAAATATTAAAAATAAACACTTTAGCTATCGATTTATCGTAGAACATCACTGTATATAAAAACGCAAGCTAACAGTAAAGATGAATATTGAGCTGTCTGCCATTGCCAGGACTTTTTTTTTAAATGTTGTTCACTCTGTAGAAGGGCTGAAAGTCCCTCGGGGTAGAATGTTTTAAAGTGGTACATATTAGACGGATATGTGGGTTAGAAAACTGTTAAACCTTGAGTTGAACAATTTAAGATTATAGTGGACGGAGAAGCATCTTCAAAGTAGCGGTTCGTGGGAAGAATCTGCTCAGGTGGAAATTGAAAATTGGCCAATGGGAAACGCAGAGATTGATGGTGGTTCACTACAATGTTGGTAGCATGGCTGGTCTTAACTGTGAAGTTTTAGAACTGATTAAACTAAAGAATGTAGTTGGTCTGAGCACTTTACCCCGGAAAAGCGATATAGCTAGGTTTACGACATCACGTTTGTGAGAAAGGAGTTTGTAAAGTGGAAAATTGTCACCTGCAAAGATGCGGAAACGCTTTTTCACTCTATCGAGACTGGAAAATGAAGATTTGGCAGCTCCTTCCCATATGTGGCAACGGTAATCCATTTCAGGTTTCATCTGGTAAAGGGGGATAGTAAGGGGGGATCAGGTACTTATTGGAGGGGTTGTATTTACGAGTCTCCCTTGACGCCTGGGTTGACTGACCTTTCAAACACCTGATAAACATTCATGAAAGTTCTCAAATTTACAAGCCTTTATAAACCAATGACATCGGTGCCTATAAACACGTGCAGCATAATAAAACCTACATTGATTTGATAAAGTCTCCCGGAGGATGACCGCGTCAGCTAAGAATAGTTTTTCTGCTTGTCTCTTTTATTCATTTTGTCACTTTTATAGATACATTCTATCTGAGAATATTTTCACACACACACACACACACACACATATATATATATATATATATATATATATATAGATAGATAGATAGATAGATAGATAGATAGATAGATAGATAAATATAATGATAAAAATATAGTTTTAACGTATGATACATTTATTACTTAAAGTGCTCAATAACAGAGATACAGCGTATATAAATGTAAACATAAAAATGGACATTGAAGTCAACACCCAGAGAAGACAATGTGTTTTATGCTAGACACAATCGTTAGGGCATGTGCTGACGATTGCACATGGTCTGACTCTGCGTTTAGCATGAAACAGATCGTTGCCCCCAGGGGTTTACTTCAATGTCCACGTTCATATTTACATACACTCTATCCACGATATTGAGCACTTTAACCCATAAATATAGCATACCTTAAAACTATATTTTACACACACACACACACACACACACACACACACACACACACACACATATATATATATATATATATATATATATATATATAGGGACAATATAAATATCAGGTTCAGATGCACTTTATATATATATATATATATATATATATATATATATATATATATATGCACTTGCAGATGCACTTTATATATATATATATATATATATATATATATATATATATATATATATATGCTCTCGAAATAATTCGGTTCAGCTTTCGAAGAGAAAGAGGGTGATTTTACAAACAGCGGATGCTGCTGCTAATGCAATGCTCTTCTACTCGAATCCAGCTCTCCCAGCTAACTGGCGTCTTTTGCATAGTAAAAACGTTAAAATTTCTTCCGCTCAGCCGTGCGACGATAGCTTGGGGGTAGAATCTCTGACTGATGCCAAATCGGTCGGGTTTCGAACCCAGAGGGAGAGAGACATAGACAGATACATAGCCTGTCTGTGGATGAATATATATATATCTTGTTTACTTTGACAGCAAGCACTCGTTTTATTAAAGACGACAGATAAGATACTGCGATTAAACATTTTATATGATTTTTCTTGTGTTCGAAAAAGTGTTTTCTTTTCTGGACACAATGTGAAGAAACTGTCCAAATGTTCTGTAATTACAAGTGCTTTCGACTATACTTTTAGCCATTATCAAGGATGATTGTTTTTACTTCTTAACTGGATGTATGTGTTGTGTGTATGTATCTGGCGTTATAGGTATGTATTATTTTCCAAACACATTGTGGCCGTGTTCGTATTTAATATTATTGAGTGTTGACTTTTCCTTTTCTTTATTAAGGCTTCCATTATTTTTACATGTGGATGAAGTTTATTATGTTTGTATTTTCCACCTTCGGGTGGAGTCTGATAAGTTTGTGGGTGCATTTAAATGTATACTGATGGAGCTGCGGTCGGCTAGGTGTAACGTAAGTCGTCGGGATAGGCATATAGTAGTGTGACCGATGTAATTATTTATGAGTTCGATTTGATCAGGAACACAGTTCCTCGTCAATAATGTTCTTTTTTTTTTTTTAGTTTTGATTTTGTAGGTGTGTTGTTAATTTTTAAAATTTTTAGTAGATAATTTTTTTTTTTTTTTCTTCAGGTCAACCGGAGTGGTGTATTTCTTTGGGATATTTATGATGTCTGTCCTCTTTAATGAAACACACACACACACACACATATATATATATATATATATATATATATATATATATATATATATATATATATATATATATATAAATATATATGTATCCGTTGTCTGATATATATATACATATTTCATTAAAAACGACATATATCATAAATATATATATATATATATATATATATATTCATATTCATATTTATGATATATGTCGTCTTTAATGAAATATATTTACACACATATATATATATATATATATATATATATATATATTTGCTTAAATGAGAATATATGCATATGTATTTATATATGTATTTATATATGTATATATGCGTGTGCATATGCGTGTGCATATTTATATGACAAAAAGCCACGATCGATTTACAGATGTGTACTTGTCTACCTCTCTTTTCCCTCGATATATATATTTATATATATATATATATATATATATATATATATATATATATATATATATATTATTGAAAATCTAATGTGTAGACAGGATCAAATAGGATTGTCCTAGTGAATACGGTTTATCGATTATCTTCTGCATCGGTGTATATATTTAGTTTCTCCGTGTGCATGCAATTACTTCGTTTGTTTGTCGGTGTGCGTGTATTTGTACGCGTCTCTACATTAAATGGCGCAATCCGGTTGAAGGCGTCCCAGTGAACTCGTCTGCTTCTCAGATGCCTTCATAATCCCCCAAGAAATGTCAAAAATGTCAGCAGAAATCACTCACCACCCGCTCCCTTGCTCATATTGCAACAGCCGCGACACAATCCATCCACCGCCCCGCCCCGACCCGCCCCTTCTACACCTTCATTTCTTTTTCTCTGATGTGCTTGTCTTTTTTGACATTCGGATCATCCATTTTGCTCTCTACTTTTTCCGTATCTTACTCTCACTCTATCTCTCTCTATATATATCCCCCCTCTCTCTCTCTCTCTCTCTCTCTTGTCTTTCTCTTTCTTTTTCCTGAGTACTTTCTCACTTTTTCTCATATCTCTCTCTCTCTCCTACACACGCCTCAATTTCTTTTACGTTTTCTTTGTCATTCTAATTTTTCTCTATATTTGACAATTCCACACTTCCCTCTCTCTATTCCAGCTTCCCTCTCTCCCTATCTATCTATCTATATATATATATATCAGTTTATCATTATCTCTCTATCTCAGTCTGTCATTATCTATCTATCTAACTATCTATCTATCTATCTATCTTTCTTTTCCGCTTTCTTTTTCTTTTGATATTTCTCTGTTTTTCACTCGCTTTTACACACAACCTCTCTCTCTCTCTCTCTCTTTCTTTCTTTCTTTCACCTCATTTTCATTCAGATATTCTTTCTTATTTCGATTACTCTCTCTCTCTCTCTCTCTCTCTCTCTCTCTCTCTCTCTTTCCCATTTTCTCCATTTCTTTCTCCTTTTCTGTTTTACTTCTTATTTTCATATCGATTTCCTTTCTTACCCTGATTATCCCCCTCTCTTTCTTTTTCTCTCTCTCTCTTTCGTTTTCCTATTATTTCACCCTCTTTTTTTCATTCATTCTTCCCTCCTTTTTCTTATCCTTTTTTATTCGTCATTAAGTCAACTTCTAACCTTTCCTTTTTTTTAATCTCTTTATTCTTTTTTTTTCTCTTTTCTTATTTGACTTTTTAAAAGTTATCTTTTTTTCTTTCTTTCTTTTCTCTTCTTTTATGATTCTCTCTTCATTTCGTTTCTCCCTTTTCGTCCCTATGCAAATGGTACCTTCCCCCTATGTTCTTCAGTTATTTATTCATCTCCGTCTGTTTCGTTCCCTTTAAACTGAGTTTAATTTCCTTCATTTCGTTTTTTTGTGGGGGGGGTGTTTTCTTTTGGTTTGCATTTGATTTTCAGGTTCTACGATTCTTAAAGTACTGATCTCTCAATCTCCAATTTCATTTCATTTCTTTTTCTCTTCTACAGCTTCTCCGTTTCATGATCTTCAGATTCCGTTTTCCTTTTAAAACGCGAGATTTATTCGCCAATCAGACCCCCAACTACTACAAATATTTTGACGAGGTTTGTTTCATCTATTTTAATGGATCGTCTAAAAAAAAACATTGTTATTATAAGCAACTAAAATAGAAGATTAAAGAAAAGGAGTCAAAATATTTGCACTGGTAAAAATACACTGACAGAAAATAAAATTGCAAAACCCTGAAAAATAATGCCAATTTTGATTTGGATAATTTTTTTAAAATCATTTCCCTCCAAGCAAGGCGAGGATGCTACTAGGATGCAAGGGGTTACTGAGTGTTGTGGTAGGATCCACCTAATTTACATAGTGGAGTACCGACCATATAAATATGGTTGGTACCGGGAAGACGGGGGAGGAAGAAGAGATCCAATCCAGAGACTCTGCCCGACTGCGACTAAGTCAACCCATTCTACAGGAACGGTCTTCCAAAGAATATACCAAAACTAGCTGTAAATACTGTGTACACGTTCTTGTGTCAATACATTTTGTTTAAGTACATTTTGTGTTGTATTATTATTATTCCATGCTTTATTCAAGTTTCAACACTGAGAGTGAAAGCGAATGAGAAAGGACAATAAAAGAACATGTTTAAGGAAAACAGAAGATGGCGATTGACATTGCATTGAAATTTCTGAAAACTCTAGACGGTCGGGAAGCAAGAAATCAGAATGGATTTCGAAAGGCGGGAAGTGTGAGAAAAAAACTATTAGAATAGAACATATGCTTACATCTAGCTGGTTTAACAGTGAGACCTAATTGCCAATCTAGTAGCACGCTTAAATCCATGCGGTCGGTGTAGCAAGAAGGAAAGCTCACCAGAACAATTGCCCTGAAAATATTCGTCGAAAAGACAGGGGCAATCCATGTTGCGTCGGTGGGAAAGTGACTGAAGTCGAGATGCCAGGTCAAGATCGATTACATTACAGACCCTTATTTGAATTTTGTCAAGAATCGCCAGATGTATAATAGGATTATTAAACGAACGAATAGATTTATAAATGTGTAAGAGGGATTCTGACGAGAGGAACTGTCTAGCACAACACTGTGAAGCAACTTTCTTAACAATGGATTCTATCATTCCACGTCATGTCAGTATCGAAAACTTTTTCACTTACCTTTGTAGTTACCTCCCATTATGAAGCAGTCTTTTACTTTCTAGTTCACTTACCTTTGCCAGGTCAGGACTAACATTAAAGACTTTTCTTTGGATTTTGTCAAACAGGGGCACCAGACCAGATATCACAACAATATTCAATGCACGGACGAATAGATGTGTAAATGTGCAAAATGGATTCTGACGAGTGAAATTGTCTCGCACGACACAGTGAACTAACGTTCCTAAGTGTAGACCTAACAATGGATTCCATTATTCTACGTCATGTCAGTATCGAAAATTATTTCACTTACTTTGCCAGGTCAGGACCGATACAATTACAGACAATTCTTTGGGTTTTGTCGAAAATCTCGAGATATATAGCAGGAGCAGCAGACCAGATATGGCATCAATATTCAATGGAGAAATGGTAGATATGTAAATGGGCAAAATGGATTCTGACAAGTTAAATTGTCTGGCACGACACTGTGATTCAACTTTCCTCGGTGTAAACCTGGCAATTGAACAATATAATGACCACATTTCAATTTTTAATGTTGCCGAAATTTTGAGAAAATTTTCCCATTCTTCGATTCTTTTGCGACATGCTAGCGTTGAATCCAATGCACCGTTTGTGTTTTGATAGTGCATGCCATGATATGGTTCACTTGCATTTTAAGGGAGTAGCTGCACACTGAACAAAATTTACTGCACAGATTAGAGCAAATGCAGTACTAGGAATGTCAACATGGACCATTGAAAATTGTTTACCTGCAGTTGGACTACAAACAGTTGTGCCTCTAGCTAGACTTCTACTTAACGCCACAACTTCTAGGTGATATGTCTTTTTAAGACGTAAACAATCATGGCTCTTCACAATTTTCTATCCTTTGTAGATCTTAGTAACCTTTGTCTTTTCGCCATCCTTTCCACCCACTGATCCTCTCTCTATTTATATAAGCTTGTTAAGTAGATTACTAGTTGTTTTCTCCTATATCACTTCTCTTCAGTATGCCCACCTTTCCTTTATTTACATTATTCGGACTATTATTCTCAACTTTGTCGCCATATTTATCACAACGTTTCGGCCGTTGTACGCTCCGGCCTTCTTCAGGTGGTTGGAATTTCGAACTGAACCCTTTCTTTCGCTCACTGGGCTAGACTGTTCTAGTTCCACGTGCCATGTTTAAATATGGCGACAAAGATGAGAACAATAGTCCGAATAATGTAAATAATGTACATAATACCTCATCTGAGAAATATAGACAGTCCACCTTTTCTTTTCTCGTTATGTGTCGTAGAAACTTCAACCGAATCTTTCAGATTTTAAGTATAAGCCTCCTTTTTCGTTCCTGCTAAATCTTCTTCGTTACTCTTATTCCTAGTCCATAGTATTCTCGGCACACTTCTGTGGAACCAGAGGTATCAAACGTTAGTGTTGTGTTCGGGGATGAAAGGTCATTTACTTGTATAATTTAAACTTGAACGACTGTCTATATCTCTGAGATGAGGTATTATGATTTCTTACATTATTTACATTATTCGGGCTGTTATCCTCATCTTCATTGCCATATTCACAACGTTTCGGCCGTTGTACGCTCCGAACCCCTTTATTTCGTCCACCGGGGTAGCTTGTTCTAGTTCCACGTGCCATGCCTCTTCCGGATGTCTCAGTTATTTCCCTGTAACTCGACTCTCCAAGTTTTTGGTTCACAACTGCTGTGACCAGGTATTGAACTCAAAACTCTTTAGGTCTAGTCTAGTCACTGCATCTAACCAACGTCTTTATCCATTATCTTTCGCCCAGCTGAACAATGACTGCTTCCATGATGCTTGTGCAACTGTACACGATGTTCCTATCCTCCTTGACCGGTACGATCGCTGAAAATCTCTCTTATTGAACATGTATGGAACGTTATATAACTAAACTTCAGTCATTCAATTAACCCACCTACAATGGGGTTATGATGCTTGGCCAGTTCACTTACATTTAGGTAAATGGGTCTGATTGAGATCTTTTCAGAACACCTTTGTAATTTTTTAAGTTCTTTGCTAAGGTTCAGCTATAATTCCATAATTTTAATTCTGTGGTCAGCTTAAATGGTGTTATCTATTCTCTGATCGATATGTTTCCTGGGTTTATGATGATTGGAACATGTCTTCTGGTTCAGATTCGATAGTCGTCTTGAATTGAAATATTCCAAAGAATCTTAACTGTTATATTCAGTAAGACAGCTTCTCGCCCGTAAATGTATTGATGTGCCAACACCCGACGCTTTCGACTTACCTACCTATAACACTGTCTGACTTCGGAGTAATGGTTAGCAAGCTTGTCTTGCTAGAACAATTACGACTGAGTAGTGAGTTCAATCCTCACTGGGTGCCCCATACTTTCGGCCTTGTGCCACGTCTAAGCCACGCTTAGAAAATCCGTATAACACTGCTAGGTGTGGAGTGGGGGGTCAACTGACAGTGAAGGAAAGGAAAAGAAAAGAAAAATCATCTGTGGTTACAGTGGAGGCACGGTGGAGTAATGGATAGCGGCTTGGATTGAGGAATCGGAGAGCCGGGTTCGAATTCTAGTCGAATAGCAGGACAGATCGGGTTCTATAGCCTTGGATGGGAACTAGGAGAAGGAAAACTCTTATTCAAAAACCTGCTCTTAGATGAGGGTGAATTTAGTCTCTCTGAGCCTTGGTTGGCAATCCATTTAGTGATGGTGTCACGATAAAAAACACCCTTGATAGCCCTAGTGAAGCATCAAGAATTCAGCTATATTTGACAAGATTATGAACTACACCAATCAAACTATTGGTGAGTTCAATCTTGGCTGAGGCCGCAAGATGATGATGACGGCCACATCACGTTAAAATACCGGTTCCCGTACTATCACCGAAGTTAAGCAACATCGAGCCTGATCAGTAGCTAGATGGGTGACCGCTTGGAAACACTAGGTGCTGTAAGCCTGGATGTATGGGTGATCTAGTGGATAAAGGCTCCGATTTTTTAATCGGAGAGCCGAGTTCCAATTCCTGTTGGGTTCGTTATATTATTTACGTGCCTTTGGAAAAGGCATGAATCCACGCTTTCTCCCACCCCCATCTATTGGTTAATTATTTCTTTTTATGTGTAGGCGATCATGGCTCTCTACCTCCCTTTATCCCTTGCAGCTCTCAACAAGTTCCTTCCATTTGTTTCCTCCCCCAGACCACGTTCTATCATCCACTTACTTAAGCCCGCTAGGTATGTCACGCGTTGTTTTCCCTTGTCTTTCTTTCCGTCTATTCAACCTGCGAGTATCAGATTCTCCAGTCCTCTCTTCCTCATTATGTGTCCCAGAAACTTCAGCTGCCACTTCCTGATATTAAGTATAAGCTTCCTCTTTGTTTGCAACCTCTCTAAGATCTCATTGCTGCTCACACGCTAGGTCCATGATATCCTTAGCATCCTTCTGTAGAATCACATCTCCGTCGCCTCGAGTCTCTTCTTCATCTTTGAGTAAATCGTCCAGCATTCGCTATCGTAAAGAAGGACAGATGCCAGCTAACAATCCAGTATTCTTTTCTTTGTTACCAAAGATATGACTTTAACATTTTTTAAAAATCTACAATTTCGAATAAAACAACAAAATATGTTCTATATTTAAAATAGAAAATATTTAAGAAAATATTTATCTTGTTATTGAATTGACAAAATTATTGTGCGAGAACATCAAAGTTCCAAATGTTAGTGATAATACTAGTGGTTTCCTTATAAGGAAGCATTCGAGTATTCAATGATCGAACAGCCTGTGGTAATGTCGTTTGAAATTTATAAAATCTTTCTCTTAAAACAGTTTTGGAGAAAAATATGTTTCTCATATCCACTAACTGTTATCGCTCTTTCTAACATTGATGTGTATGACCTTTTGCCTTAGATAGTGTGGAAAGTCAACTCATATGGATAAAAGTGTTGGCGATCCAAAAGTGACTTGACTCAATGTGTTGCGTGTTCAATATCTGACCACAGAAGAGGGAAGAAGAATTTGGAGAGTTTAATTAACAAGTATATTAATTAAAACTGAGATATCCAAAGGCATGACACGTGGAATTAGAACCATCTACCCCTGTGGACTAAATAAACGGTTCGGATCGAAATTCCACGAAATATCACCAGAAGAAGGCCGGAGTGTACAACGGCCGAAAAGTCGTGAATATGGCAATAAAGATGCGGACAACAGTCCGAATAATGTAAATAGTGAAAGAAAGATTTTCAGGTCTTGGACAGGTGGTTTGAAACTATTTGCGTATTGATATAATTTTCATTCTGCTATCAAAATGCTTTTTTATTATTCTTTGTCCAACCGCATCCGTACAAATTCTGCAAAGATGGCTGTCGCACGGCGCGTTGTGGTTATTCTGTAGACGGTAAGTTAGTTCAAATGCAACAAATGGAAACAGCACCCTCCTTTGGGACATTTTCAACAAAACCAATACAGCCAAAAATGTGTCAAAGTGTTGCACACTTATAGAAATATAAGCTTAGATGACAAATTAACGCGTCGTCGCGTACGGAAACTTGTTATGACAGATGTAAGAGGTGAAACCCGGAGCGCTTTTCATACTCCAAGCGTGATTAAACGTATTTCTTTTAATGCTATCGACTTTCAAAGAGAAATTATTTTGAAACCTACGTGGAGCGTGAGACAAGTGATCGCTCGTAGAAACACTTGACTTCAAGCTAAATATTGGGGTATACGTTACGCAAATTTCGTGTATCTCTCGTTACAATAGCTTTCGTCCATCTTTGGGTAACATTTCTTATTCTTATTTCAATATTATCCACCGATTTATTTTCTTTATCATAGCTGAATTATCATGACTACTTGGGAAAGATATAGGAGTAGTTTCTTATCGTCTTCTGCACGATTTTTCATTTTAGAAGTAGTCTTTCTCCTGGACTAGCTGCTAGCCATGATTAGAGAAACCCGTCTATCACCCTACTTAATCCATTGCTGGAGAGAGAAAAGGTGGATTCGTGCCTTTCCCAATGATATTTACGAGAATGTGAACGCAGCAGACAAGGCCGGAATTTGAATTCGTTTCGTAAGCTCCTCCTTCAGTTTCGAAACATTTATACAAAAAACTTGATAATATGTTTGAATCGCCTTGGAAATGATATGATAGAACGAACGAACAAATCCCATGACCAACCGGGGTCGTAAGGGAACGACATGTACTGCAGGCGCAGAAGAAGTGGTGTTTATTGGGTAAGATAACCTGACGGAGCCCAACCTTCAACAGGCAAAATATGATAGAATCATCTTTTAAAACGTCCAGTTTTCATTGTTGGCAGCGAAACCGTTTTTGTTTCTTTTTTTAAAAGTCGCATCTTCACGTATCAGTTTGTAGTATCGTGTGATACGTTTTAATCAACGTGTTAACCCAACTCATAACCTTAGTACACAACCCTACCGACACAGTTA